ATAGGGCATGTGGTTTAGCGAGTTAGCTCTTCCGACCCCCTTCTTCCCCTTCGAAGCGGGGTTAGCACTGTTCCTGTATTGTAACACACATACACCCTCCCCCACCTGACTGGGGCAAACATCCCTAACCACGACAACCCTCCCCACCATCTCTGTCTACAATACAATGTGCACTGGTGTCTTGGCACGCGCGGCGCATCTCGCGAGCGTCGCGCACTTGGCTGGCGTCTGCAGTGGTTGCCGATAAAAGGCGATGGCGGCCCCTGCCAATGCTGAAACACGGGTGCCACCCATGTGGAAGGACGGCGTGTGAAAGTGAGCTTGACCTCCTCCCTCTCCCCATCTGCCTCTTTGTCTGAAGGGGGGGTATCGCGTCGGGTTAGTTCGTCCAAGATGGCTCCGATGTGGCCTACACTTGCCAAAGATGGCCTCCAAGATGGCCCAAGAATGCTGAAGACAGCCTCTCACATGTCTCCAAGAGGTCCCAACAAGTGGCCACGGAGCCCCCAGAGGACCAGCCCAAGAGGGTCAAACCCTTCCAACACCAAGAGGCAATTCATGTGTTTCTGACTTCTCGTCTGTTCGTTTTCGATGGGCCCTGGAGGCGCCAAACTGGCTCCAACATGACCCAAGAGAGCCCCAAGAGGTGCCCACCACGGCCCCAAGAGCGCCAACAAGCGACCCAAGAGGGCCTGAACAAGCGGGCTTGAGGGCCTGAACAGGCGGGTTTGTTGTTGAACTCACATGACCACCTAATGGTTCTTGTTGATCCCCCCTCTGGTAAGATAAACGTTTTTCACTTGAAATGCCCCTCCCGGGGCTCGCACCCAGTCTTTTTATCAAGAAAGGCGTTACTCCTCAAACTGCGCCCCTGGCCCACGGACTACAACAACAACAACAACAACAACAATCATTTTACCCGAACGCGTGGTGTTCTCCCCAGTGCCAGGGTTTTCATACGACACCAGGCAATACCCCCACTTCGTGGGGGGGCATTACAAGCTCTACCAAATATCCAAACGACTCTTCGCGACCACCCAAACCCAGCTTCCCGCCCTATGACGTTGGGACACTTCACTTCGTGGCGTGCGGACGACCGTGGCTACTACACTGGCGTGGGGTACACACCCACAGAACCCAATGGTTTTTGGAGATTTCGGCGTGCGCGCGCGAAGAAAAAACGAATGTGTCCCGCATGGTATTATTTGACAGGGATGATGGCCCTGGCAGGTGCGCAACCGTTGTCGCAGAAGTTCGAAAAAGTTGCTCGCAAAAGCCCGTTTGACAGAAATGTTTAAAAAGTGTTGGGTTTCCTACGAATCCGCAAGAGCGCGCGGGATGAGATTTTGACATTTTTTTGTTGAAAAACCATTGGTTTTTTGATGTTTTTATGTTAAAATCGCTCCGAACACTAAGCTTTTGGAAGGATTTCGTCTTGCGCGCGCGAATGTCCACTTTACCTTATTTTTTGCAAGGGATTCTTGAAATTTGATTATATTAGAACAAGAAATGTCATTTTATAGTGTTTTTTGCAAGGGAAAACGGATTACAACAAAACAACCGGATCTTGATGACATCGAATTACCTGAGGCTTCCTCACGAAAATGATGAAAACGTGGCTGCGGCCTAGGCGCGGCGGGGGGGGCGCGCACCAGGGGGCCCAACAATAATTATTCTTTAGAATTAATAATGTTCAACAACAACAACAACAACGGTCCCGCCTGATACTTCCCCACATTTTACTGAGACATCGCGCTCTGGCTCGGGACCCCCTTGCAATGTATCCAAGATTTGCGCTCTCGCCTGTGACTTCCTCAGAGTTGATTCAGGCGCCACGCCCACGCCATTCAGGAATCGCACTCTCGCCTGGGACTTCCTCATACATTTCTAAGAATCGCGCTCTCGCCCGAGACTTCCTGGCGAATTATGCAGGACTCACGCACTCGCGTAACATGCGCGTCCGTCCTGCTATTGTCTCTCGTGTTACACCTTCCTCCCTCCCCCTTGTTCTTTCCTTCCATCCGTCCTCAATTTCCTCGCCTTCGGGGCTGCACGAAATACACACGATGCAGGTAAGAAAGATACCCCCCAAGGGGGTACGATCGAAAACGAAGCGGGCGGGTATCGAAGGTTCGGGATATACGTGTTGAGTGGCACGCGAGCAGAGAAGAGCGGAACACTCAAACAATGATTATTACTATAAGTATTAGTGCTGTCGTTGTTATTGTTGGTGCTGTTGTTGAGTACTCATTTGTAGAGAATGATTATTGCTAATATCTGGAAACGGTTCCGCGTGCTCTCGCCTCGACGCCAACTGCAATCCCTTTGAAAACGAGGTTCCCGCTCGAAGGCGGGCTTGATTGTCAACGTGTCCCCTTGGAATCCCCGCTACAACGACAACGGCTCCCGCTCGATGCTTCCTCACAACTTACCACGAGACACCCTGGCCGGAGAGGGTTCCGAACTCAAGAACTGCGTTCTCGCTCGAGACCTTCTCATAATCAGCAACTTGGCGGAGGTCCAGCCACGACGACAAGGGCTCGTGCTGGATACTTCCTCACGATTTACTCCGAGAGCCCCTGATCAGGGAAGCCCCGAACTGAGGAACGTCGCTCTCGCTCGAGACTTTCTCGCGATTCAGTTAAATTGGTGAAGGCCCAGATACGACAACAAGGGCTTTCGTTCGATACTTCCTCAAGATGTGTTCCCAGGGGCCCTGGCCAGAGAGGCCCCCAAACTCAAGAGTGGCGCTCTGGCTCGAGACTTTGTCATAATTCACGCAAGTTGGCGGAAGCCCAGCCACGACGACAAGGGCTCCTGCTGGATACTTCCTCACGATTTACTCCGATAGCCCCTGGCCAGGAAGTCCCCCAAACTCAGGAACGGCGCTCTCGCTCGAGACGTCCTTGTGATTCAATCAAACTGGTGGTGCCCAACTACGACGACGCTGTCGCTCGATACTTCCTCAAGATGTATGCCCAAAGGCCCTGTCCAAAAAGGCACCCAAACTCAAGAGTGACGCCCTGACTCGAGACTTTCTCATAATCCCACCAGCCCTCTGGGCGTCAATGGTTTATGGAGTTTCCCCTTCCACCCCTCCTTCCCCGAAGGGTTTACCCCTCCCCCTACCCCCTCCACATGGACCTGGAGGGGGGGGGGTCGCGAGTCGTCAGGGCGTCCAAAACGGCCTCGACGAGGAAGCCAACAGCATTGATTTTACTAAGGTGTTGGCACCAGTTTGGCCTCTTGGGGGGGGGGGGAGGGGGGGCGCTAATTGAACACCCCCCCTCCTGTGATCGATCTCCTCCAAGATGGCCTCAAGAAGCGCCAAGGAGGCCCCAAGATGTCCCAAGATGGCCCCAAGATGGCCCCAAGAGGCCCCCAAGAGGCACCCAGGAGGCCCCCAAGAGACCCCCAAGAGGCCCCACGAGACCCCCCCGAACGCACCCAAGATGCTCCAAGAAGCCTCGGCGAGAATGCCAACACGGCCTCGGCGAGGAAGCCAAACTCATTGGTTTTATGGTTTTGGCCCCATGTTGGCCTCCGAGGGGGTTGACGCCAATTACTGCTCCCCTCTTGTTTGATCGATCTCCTCCAAGATGGCCCCAAGAAGAGCCCAGGAGGCCCCAAGATGTCCCAAGATGGCCCCAAGATGACCCCAAGAGGTCCCCAAGAGGCACCCAGGAGGCCCCCAAGAGACCCCCAAGAGGCCCCAAGAGACCCCCCAGAGGCACCCAAGATGCTCCAAGAGGCCTCGGCGAGAATGCCAAAACGGCCTCGGCGAGGAAGCCACAAAAATTGGTGTTACTAAGGTTCTGGCACTTTTTTGGTCTCCTGGGGGGGACGCCAATTACTGCTCCCCTCTTCCCCAGAGGCGTCCAGAATGGCCCAAGAGGGCCCAAAAACACCCCCAAGAAGGGCCCGAGAGGGGGAACACGACCGGAAAATCGTCCGCCCCAAGAGGCACCCAGGAGGCCCAAAGAGGCCACCCCCGAAGAGACCCCCAGGAAGTCCTCAAGACACCCCAAGAGGCTCTAAAACGGCTCCCAGGAGGCCTCCAGCCCCCCAAAGGCCTCCGAATGGACCACCCGCGACATCCCAACGAACATCCTAGAGGCCTACGGCCCGCAACCCAGGAACGGTGGCGGGATGAGCTGAAGTCCTTTAGATAAGAAAGAGGGAGAGAGAAACAAGAGAGAGAGAGAGAGAGACGTAAAACACGCCTATACATAGAGAGAAAGAGGAACTTAAGGATGAAGAAACAAAGAGAGAAGGGAGGAAGACAGAGAGAGAGAGAGAGATATATATGGAAAGATGCGGTGGCGGGCGGAAACGCTGGAGGAAAACAAGGACAACCGTTGTAAGGTACAATCCGCACTAAACTTCCCCTCCTGCTCTGTATTGCTCGTTTGACCTCCTCTTCCCCAGCATTCCTGGAACTTTCTCCTGTGATTGAGTTGTGTGTGCGCGGTGGCAGATTGCCCGTGGAAGGTGTATGGACATTTGCACGGCGGCAATGTTCCGCAGCTCCACTGGTGATTCGTGTGGCGAAGGACCTTCTGTCCTGCGCCGCGCTAGCATTTGCACGATTTGCCATACAAAGAATACGCGCCTCAAGCCGAACCTAGATAGTGCCAAACACCGCTGAAGTTACTCGCCGTTTCATATGCATCTGCACGTTCCCATCCTCGTCCAATTGTCTATTGCGAATCGCGCGATGCCTCCCTATATCAGTTGTTGACATTTGCTGATATCTGGTTGCAGATGGCTGACAGACATCTTCGCGCAAGTTGAATTATCATTGCCTGGTGCACCATTAATGTATCAAGCTGCGCTCGCTAGTGTGGGATAGAGGGGGGAAGGGAAAGATATGCAGAGAAACATGAAACAACGGCAAACTAGACATACTCACAGTACAGCACGTGTCAAAGGGGGAGAGGTGGGTGCAGCTCCCAGAGAACATTCACAAACCTTCGAAACGCATGGCCCTTCGCTCATACCTATGGCGGTTCCACGCCGTGCTCTTCCCGCATGTGATCACCCAGCACGCCCTGCACATGCGCATGGTTGACAAAGAACCAAATCGCAAGTACCACCAACATCAACAACAACACGCACGCAGTAAACCCGCCAAAATTAATGTGCGCGAGCAGCGACACAGCTAATCCAAGGCACGTGCTTCCTAGCCCCAAAAACAGCATAGGTGCTTTCTGCATTCCCGCGGTGTTCTCAAAGAACCACCTCGACAAGAATATAGGCAATATATGCGATACGCCTAGCAGCACCGCAGCATACAGCACCGATGCCAAAGTGAAGCTGAACGCCAAACCCATGAGGATACCAAACCAAAGTTTCGTCCAGCTGTCTGCGTTCATGATGGCATCGGATGGTTCCATCAAGCCCTCTGCGGCAACAGTGAACACGAGAGCCGACACGATCATAACATTCTCATATCTGCCAGTCAATCTCTTTTTGATGCTGTCATCAATCGTACGTGACGTGTCCGAAGTCAAGGAGCCCAAATAATACAACATATCGAACCAACTTCTGAACGACTTGACCTTGCCGTCGGCACCGCCATCGGACTCGCTGTCCTCCGTCTCCAGCGTGGCAGCGCCCAGTGCGTGCCTCATTCTCACATTGGCGTCGCTGTCAGACTCGCTGCCAACAGCGCTCATCCTCGCGTCGTGTTCACGACCAGTCGCGCGCTTGAGTGACCAGCTCCCCCTCGCTACAAGATCAACCAGATAGGCAGAAAACGCAGTCTATTGGCGGCGCGCAGAGGGGTGGTAGGGGAAGGGGGGGAGGCTTCGTAGAAGGAGGTTGCTTCTTAGAAGGCGCAGGCCTTACATCTACAGAGAAGGCCCGCGCCGTCTAAGAAGCAGGGGTGCTTCTAAGAAGCCTTCCCCCCTCCCCCCTACCCCTCTGTGCGCGCCGGCAACTCTAAGCAGAATCGCACACGGGCGTCACGCCACGGCGAACCAAAATCACACCTTGATATGGGCAGGTGCCTCGCTGGTGACGCCCAGACCCAAATACGAAGGCGGCTCGAGGAGAAACGGCTGCGAGGGCGGCAACCATACCGGTCATCTCCGTGAACTGTGCGGAAACGGAACGAACAGAACTTAAACATAACACTCGGAAGTCCGCGCGGATGTTTTGAATCGGCGCTGGGGACCCCTGGGGGCGCCTCCGGCGAAGCCCCTGGCTCACTCCGCGCGCCAGGGGGGGAGGTCCAGCGCGGATCCAAGAAGTCCGCGCGGACCTCCGAGTTTCTACGTTGATGTCATTTTCGCTCCACTATTCAATCTCGCATTAAACAAAATTATGGTTTATGCTGCGCATGCTGCGAGCAACGCTCCTAAAATGTACCCCAGACCGCCGGGAACAACTACTGGTTCTGACTGGGACGAAGACCTACCGTGAGTACGTTTCCTAACGTGCGACTGCTGGTAAACACTGAGTTTGTGCTCAAAACCTCCAAGTGACACCACTGAGTACAACGCAGATATGGCGGGCGCAACGTTTGACAGATCCACAACACACGCACCCACATACGCCCTAAGAACACGCTTGGCGCTCGTTCGCTGTGTCCGCATGCCAGACCCTCGATCCATGCCCCGTGCCCTCCTGCCCTGCGACATCAGGACGATCGCACACGCATCGAACTAGTCATCAACGCCAAACTCTTTTCGGAAAGTGAGCTCGCCAATTGTGCACCTAGGGAAGCATGGGTCCGACCCGTATGTTCTGTGAAGTATTCGTGGGGCATGCCAAGCTGAAAAGAAAAGGGGAAACACCGCTCTGGGACTCGTATGGTCCAGCAAAGAGGTTCAATTCTTCAAATCATTATGACGGCGCTGTTCCGAAGGAGCGTTCCCGTTGCCGTTTGGAACAATGGCGGGACTACCTTTGGCCCTTTGTGGTTCGTCTTGGCTCCAAGTGGCCGCCTTCGGCCATGCCGAAGCAGTTTGGGGCAGTAGACTGTTCGGGCTTCTCGGGGCGCTCTCAAGAGTAATGTTTCTGCAGTTCTCCGTGGAACATTTGAGGACCTCGATGAGGCGCCTCTTGGGACTCTGTGGCCCCTTCCGCGGCCCTCGACGAATCATCAGCGGAATTGTTGGGCGACCTGACACTGCTCAGAAGAATGTTGTTTTGGCATCCGTGGGGAGGTCGCGGGGCCGCCATGGGCTGTCTGAGGGTTGGTGGCACGGCCGTGGGCCAGCATAGCGCCATGACGTGCACGATGAGCCTCTTGGGCCTTTGTAGGCTCCCCTGGACGCTCATGGGGACCCATGGGGGACGCCTTAGGCCAGTCATGGACCATCTTGATGCCCCTTTTTAGGGCTCATGGATCTTGTTTCTAGATCCTGCAACTCTGGCCGTATCGACCGAGACCCCCTAAGGCGCTTCTTCCTTCTCTCTCCACCTTCTCCAACCATCCTGCACTTCGTCGCCAACTCATTGTCATCGGGCTCCGCGTTTCCTCCTCCCTCTCCCATATGTTACTACACCGCATCGCTATCACTTTCCCCTTCTCCTGGCTCCTTCTGCTGTTGACCCATGCCCCCTTCCCCGTGCGTTCCCCCTCGCTTTGTATGTCACCCTGTGTAAGATTCGTATCCTGCCATCCTCCTGCCTCCTCCGTGTTCTTTCTTATCCGCCTAGTATTCGCGCAGTGCACATGATGCTTGTCCTCGTTTCCTGAATCACTTAATCACTTCAATCACGGTTATGTTCACAATGAAGTGGCATACCCGGGATAGGTCTTTGGATCCCCACCCAATAGTTGGAAACACAATATCTCTTCGGCGACCTAATTGACGGACTGGGGTCCGATCACTAGTGGGAAAACAATATTTATCCGAGGCACTCGCCGCACAACGACGACGACGAAGACTACGAGGAGTACGAGGAGGAGGAGCAGGAAGAGGAGGAGGGGGAGGATTGAGGATGAGGATGGGGATGAGGAGGGGGAGGAGAGGAGGTGGAGGAGGAAGAAGAGCAGCAGGAGGAGGAGAAGGAGGACGAGGGGCGAGTTCATTCCCAGCAGAGAGAAATTAGAGGAGGCAATACAATAACTAAAGACATCCTGATATTGAACCACACAGACCGTTGGACATATTGTTGTCTTCTCCAGCCCCGCCCTCCCCTCCATCTTCCTCGGGGTCTTGGCCCCACGTCGTTCGCCCGCCCACCGTATTCCTAAGGGTCTTGACCCCCCCGGAGGTCTTGGCCCCCCGTCGTTCGCCCTCCCCTTCGTTATTCCCCGTTCGCCCCCCGTTCGTTACTCCCCGTTCGCTCCACCCTCCGTTCGCCCCCCGTCGTTACTCCACGTTCGCGCTCCGTCGTTGGCCCCCCGTCGTTCGCCCTCCCCTTCATCCTCCTCGGGGTCTTGGCCCCCTGTCCTTCGCTCCCCTCGCCGCATTCTTAGGAGTTATGGCCCCCCCCCGTCTCCTCCCTCGTGTGGTGGGCTGGCACGCTTCGGACCGGGGGCTCTGAAGAACGCTCTTGGAACATGCAGTCAACCCGTTTAGTAAGGATCCGGGATAAGGATGTAAGGGCCTTGGACGCCCATTGCGAAGCTTCTCGAGCGGGGCGCGACCAGCGAAAGTGGTCAAGGATGGACCGAGGAGGCAAGGATGCAAGGGTACCCCTGGGAAGGTTGCCCATCCTTACTATGCGGGTTGACTGCACGGAGGGCTGACACGTTTCGGCGGAGGCTCTGAAGAACGCTCTTGAAGCATAAGTCGTCCTTGACCAGCACGTCCTCTTTCTGGTGGCCCCCCAGAGCCCTCTGCCTCCTCTAGTGCGCCGTGCTCGTCGTCGCCTTCTCCTTCGGATTTGTCGCCAAAATGATCAGAGATCAGAGTTTTCCAGCGGACCCGTCCTGGAACGTTCTGGTCCCGCTTGCAGCTCTTCCTCTGGCCGTCATGTCCATCGTCCTTCTTCTTCTGATCCGATCCCTCCCTTCAAATTCTGCGTTCTCATTTCAACATAACCTCCCCTTCCTAAGTGCTGCTCCTGCTCGTCCTCCGTGCCGTCTTCTGCACGCCTGCCGTCGATGTGCCGAATGTTCTCCGGCGGCCGACCACAATACTGTTCTGGGCATCTGTGCCGTCCAGTACCTCATCGTCCTATCCAACATCCTCTGTAAACATATCCTAACAAGACCAAATAATAGTCAAACAATAATCGAAAAATCGTCCCTTGACTATTTTATACAACTTTTGAATACTCCTCCTGTAGAGGGACAAGCCCGACTTAACATTATCAGTTCCCCGTGCTCCTCCGTGACTTTCTGGTCAACCAAACTGTCGGTGCGCCCGAGAACATTGCAGCCCTTTGGGTCGGAACGCTCTCGAATCAGAATTTCCTCTCGCTGGATCTGGCCGAATCCTGGTGTTCATTGTTTCGGCTTCCGGGGCCCTGGCTCGGGCCGTCTTGGGCTTCTCCGGAAACCCCATGGGCTGGGGGGGAATCCAAGACCATGTTAGGACCCTCTGGGGTCTCTGTTGATGCAGTCTTGCCGCTCTATGGCCCATCAAAGTCTGATTCGAAATAGGATCATCGTCAAACCGTCGACAAAACAAAATGAATCCCGTAAGTTCTGGGCAGGAAGTGCGACGACTTCGGGCTACGGCCCTCTTGTGGCCTCTTGCTGGCTTGGAGCAGTGTAGGCCCTCTTGAGCTCGAGGTGCGCTGTCTTGGGGCCATCTTCGGACATCCAAATGTGCTGTCGGGCACTGTAAAATTAGGGCTTCTGGGGCCCCGTGGTGCCCCTCTTGAGACGGGAATCCGCTTCGCCGAATCCCTCTTCGAGCCACCCTCGACCAAATGATCATGACGAAAGACCCCACCGTATGCAATTGTGAATACCGTCGTTGCGGGTATCGCCTTCGGGGGATCTCCTATGGGGCCACGAAGTGCTGTACCGGGTGGGGGAGACGCACGCGAACACCGCCAAGGGGGGCCTTCTGTGAAGCTTCATATGGGGCCACGAAGCGCTGTACTCACTGGGGAAGACGCATGCGAACACCGCCACGGGGGCTTCCAGTGGAGCTCCCCATGGGGGACACGAAACGCTGTACTGCGTGGGGGAGACGCATGTGCGTGGGGGAGACGGCATGCGAACACCTCCCTAAGGGGCCACGGAACGCTGAACTGAGTGAGGGAAACGCATGCGAACACCGCCGCTGGGGTCTTCAGTGGAGCTCCCTACGGGGCCACGAAATGGTGTACTGGGTGGGGGAGGCGCATGCGAACACTGCCACTGAGGCCGTCGGTAGAGCTCCCTATGGGGCCGCGAAGCGCTGTATACTGGATTGGGGAAACGCATGCAAACACCGCCACTGGGGCCTTCGGTGGAGCTCCCTATGGGGCCACGAGGCGCTGTGCTTGATGATGGAGACGCTTGCAGACACTGCCACTGGGGCCCATGATGGGGCCACGAAGCGATGTACCGAGTTGGAAGCCGCATGCGAACACCGCCGCGGGGGCCGTCGGTGGAGCTGCCGAGCTCCCCATGGGGCCAAGAAACGCTGCACTGGCACCGCCACTGGGGCCTTCGGCAGAGCTCCCCATGGGGCCATGCAGCGCTGTAGTGGGTGGGGGAGACGCACACGAATGGCCACTGGGGCCTTCGGTGGAGCTCCCTATTGGGCATCGAAAAGCTGTACTGGGTGGAGAAGACGCATGCAGACACCGCCGCTGCAGCCTCCGGTGCAGCTCATTATGAGGCCACGAAACGCTGTACTGGGCGGAGGAGACGCATGCGAACACTGCCACTGGGGCCTTCGGTGCAGCTCCCTATGGAACCACGAAGCGCTGTACCGAGTGGGGGAGACGGCATGCGAACACCGCCGCGGGGGCTTTCGGAGCAGCTCCTCATGGGGCCACGAAGCGCTGGAGTGGGTGAGGGAGACGCGTGCGAACACCGCCACTGCGGCCCTCGGTGGAGCTCCCTGTAGGGCCAAGAGGTGCTGTACTGCGTGGGGGAAGCGCATGCGATCACCGCCGCTGAGGCTTTCGGTGGAGCTCCCTATGGGACCACGAAGCGCTGCGCTGGGGGAGGAGGACAGATGAAGGGATCGGAGGATGGGGAGGAGGGAGGAGGGAGGAGGGGGAGGAAGGAGGGGGAGCAGGAGGAGGAGGATAAGACGCTGCTTGGCGCCGCCGCGCGTCCGCACCGACGGGCACAATAGCGGAGGGGGGGCCCAACGACCTCCCCTCAAGGCTCCGATCGCGACGATGCCCACCCGAAGGATGGCGGCAGCATCGCGGAGCACAAACTTGTTATGAATACGAATATGAAGAAGGCAGCCTCACACTGTAAGGATTAGAGTGCTGGCTGCCTGTGCACGGTGCTGGCTGCCTGTAAACGGTGCGGTGATGGGAGAGGAGGAGGAGGAGGAGGAGGAGGAGGAGGAGGAGGAGGAGGAGGAGAACGCGGGGCGCTGTCTCTTCAAACCGACCCACCACCACAACATAGGTGGGAAAAACATCACGCGGGAAACACAGTCCTTGGCTGTGTCGTGCAGGTACGAGATCGTCTCCTCGCCTGGGTCGAACGCATCGGCGTCGGCGAAGGGGCTCTTCCTCTGTAGGGACTCCTCCTCCTCCTCCTCCTCCTCTTCCTCCTTCACTTCCATCTCCTTCCGGCCCCCCTCGCCGCATTGTCTTCCTCCGCCTCCAGCCCTGCCCCCCTCTCCCCGTCCTCTTTTCCTTGTCCCCGGTGGTCCTGATCCTCTCCCGCCCCTCCTCGTCCGCCCCTCCTGCGCCTCCTCCACCTCCTTTTCGTCTCCAACCTCCTGCTCCTGCGCCCTTTCCTTCCTCTCCCCCGTTCCCCTCGTCTCCTCCTCCCGCCTCGCCTCCTGCCTCCCGACTGTGCAGCAGCACAGTTTGCAATCTGAGCGGCTACTGCTGCGCAATGGTGATCCTTCATCTCTCGCGGATGTCTTCATACAACGGGTCGCCGTGCTTGCTTGTTCCTGGCTGCTTCTTCAATCCGGAGAGCGTCTCTTACCCTCCACGAAGCGGTGCTTCCGACGCAGACATGGCAACATTTCCGGGCGAGTGCGTTGGTTCCGTCGTTAGAATTAGGTCGGGCATGTCCACCTACACGCGGATCTTGAGCGAAAAAAACCATCAAAACATGTAAACAACAATTCTCATTCATACAAAAAGTAGTCCCTGAACATTTTTTATTTAAAACTATGTTTGAATATTCCTCCTGTAGAGGGACACGCCCGACTTCCGTTTGGAACGGCGCTCGTGTCCAAGCGCGGGCCACACATGTCTGCGACTCCTTCGCCGTCGCTACCATCCCCCTCCTTTCCGCTCCTCCGCCCTCGCCTCGTCATGCTCCTCTTGCTCCCGTCCCTTCGGGCGTTGGCAGAACTGGGTTTAGTGGAACCTGGTTTAGTGATTTGTACCGGGGGCGCCCCCCCGTCCCATTTCCACTAACCGGAACTGCCGTCACCCTAAAAACACTAGTTACGGCAAACCTGGTTTAGTGAGTCTGGGCCCCAGGGCCCTAGCACTAACCGGGTCCCCTTACCCGGGGTCCTGGCTATACCCGATCCCTGCTCCTCATCTTTTGCTCCTGCTTCTGCAATGTACAAAAGACCCGCTCTCCAACGGTCTGGCATAGGATGGGTCTTTTTGGGCCTGGGAAACGGCAGAGCCGGTTTTTCAACGTTCCCCCAAAAGATAACCCTTGAAAATGGAAACGGCAAAAAAAACGGCGACCGGAAACGGCAAAAAACGGCTCCAGGATTGGAACCGGAGCCGGAACCGGTCAAAAAACGTCGACGGAACCGGTAAAAAAACACGGCGTCGGAATCGGTAACAAAAACGGCAAAACGGAACCAGTAAAAAAACGGCCCTGTCGTTTCCAGGGCCCCCTCGGAGATGGGTCAAATCATACGGTCAAATCCTGCAACTGCCATTCGGGCACCAATGTCCTGTCGGCCACCACCGCCTACGGATAGAAACACATTCAACGCAAAGAATAGGGGAGGGGGGGAAGGATGATGATGATGATGATGATGATGATGATGATGATGATGATGATGATGATGATGATGATGATGATGATGATGATGATGATGATGATGATGATAGGAGAAGGAGGTCAGATGTGGTGCGGACGCGTCCAGCTTGTCTCTTCCTCCTCTGCCTGTCCCTTTCTCTTTCTCCTCCCAAGGACGGACGAGAAGCGTAGACAAATTCTTCACGAGGTCCGCGCGAGTTCCTTGGATCGGCGATGGGACCCTCTCCCTATTGCGCGGAGATCGCCAACGGCGACGCCGCAGGGGCTGCCAAGAGGGTCAAGCGCAGACCTAGGGAATCCGCGAGGACGTCAGACAAAATATGCTTGTGCATGTGCTGGGGAGAACTGGCCCATGGGGGGGAACCATCGAGCTGGAGTCGGCGATGCGTCCCGATAGATTGGCGACAGGCCCACCGATAGCGCCTCCGCACTGACCTGGGCGGGGTGGGTGGCGATCACTTTCTGAACGGGGGTAGACGCATCCCATCCTGAGGCTTCGGTGGCCACTCATGGGAGCCTCCAATACCATCTTGTCAGCTTTTGCGAGTCTTCGCTGGTCGATGCTGGTCGACGCTACTCGACGCGAATCGACACAAGCCGACGCGAAATGAGCGCTATTTCATCGACTCCCAGACGCTGATCGGCGCTAGCCCTGGGGAACAAAAAAGTGGCATAAGCATCAGGAAGAGGCGGCCCAGTGTTCATTCATTGTCCCTGGGTGCGTGGCTGAAGTGAAGATCCGTGGTGAGGATTCTGCTTGTTGCGTTGTTACTGTTGCTGCTGTTGCTGTTGCTGTTGCTGTTGCTGTTGTTGTTGTTGTTGCTGTTGCTGTTGCTGATGTTGTTGTTGCTGTTGATGTTGGTAGTGCTGTTGTTGTTGTTGTGGTTGTTGTTGTTGCTGTTTGGTTGTTGTTTCTGTTGTTGTTGTTGATGTTGTTGTTGTTGTTGTTGTTGTGGTTGTTTGGTTGTTTGGTTGTTTGGTTGTTTGGTTGTTTGGTTGTTTGGTTGTTTGGTTGTTTGGTTGTTTGGTTGTTGTTGTTGTTGTTGTTGTTGTTGTTGTTGTTTGGTTGTTGTTGTTGTCGTCCCCCCTGCGACCCGCCCGCGACCCACCCACGACCCTGCCCGCGACCCACCCCGCGACCCACCCCCCGACCCGGCCCGCGGCCCAGCCCGAGACCCACCTGCGACACACCCGTGACCCACCCCGTGACCCGCCCGCGACTCACCCACGGCCCACCCCGCGACCCACCCCGCGACCCACCCGCGACCCACCCCGCGACCCAACCCGCGACCCGGCCCGCGGCCCACCCGCGACACATACGCGACTCACCCGCGACCCGGCCCGCGACCCGGCCCGCGACCCTGCCGCGACCCTGCCCGCGACCCACCCGCGACTCACCCGCGCGACCCGCACGAGACCCACCCCCCGACCCACGACCCACCCCGCGACCCACCCTCGACCCACCCGCGACCCATACGCGACCCACCCGCGACCTGGCCCGCGACCTGGCCCGCGACCCACCCCGCGATCCACGCACATTGCTTTCACGAAAAAATCGGCGCCTGTAGCGAGCCCACTGCATAATTTGTACAACAGTGAGGCGCCTGCGGCGAGCTTCTTCCGAGCGTCGCAGACTGACGACGTCCCCGCCGTCCCCTCACTCTCATCCGCAACTGCGGGGTGCTACGTAAAAACTCGGAGGTCCATCGGATTTGTCGGATCGGCGCTGGACCTCCCTCCATTCGGGCGTTGGCAGAACTGGGTTTAGTGGAACCTGGTTTAATGATTTGTACCGGGGGCGCCCCCCCGTCCCTGCTCCACTAACCGGAACTGCCGTCACCCGAAAAACACCAGCTACGGCAAACCTGGTTTATCTGGCCAATTGAGAGGGGCCCCAGGGCCCTAGCACTAACCGGGTCCCCTTACCCAGGGTCCTGGCTATACCCGGTCCATGGCGCGCGGAGCGCGCCATGGGCGGCGCCGGCGCTGCCGGGGGGCCTTCATGCCGATGCGAGGAATCCGCGCGGCCCTCAGTGTTTTTCCCCCTCGAATTCGACGCTGATGACGGAATTGGGAAGATATACCCGGCCCCCATCACTTGCTACCCGAGACGCGTCCCATCCTGAACCCACGTGCGCTTTCGGCCTGCGCCTCCTGGCCCGGCGGACGGCCCTTCTGCGCGTCCGTTCCTGCGACGGCGCGGCCCCTCGCCCGCCGCAGAACCGCGTGCATTGGCTTCAGACCGTGGCCGCGCGCCGCGGGGGAATCCTTCGGCGGCGAGCGATGTGGGGGTAGCGAGAAAAGGAGAAGGCCTTCTCAGAGGGCGGCGGGACTGCTCAGAAGCCCTCGCGCCTTCTGAGAGGTTTGCTCGGCCTCCGGAGAAGGCTTAGAAACCTCCTCGGGAGGCCCGGGGGGGACTCCCGGGCCTTCTGAGAAGGGGCGCCCCGTCTCACTTGCCCCCCTCGCTCGCCGCCGAGTTCTGGTGAGATGTGGTATGCTGGTCCGGGGGCAAAAAACTCATCCGAGTGCGAAAACGCCCATCCCAGGACGAACGAGTGTTCCTCTTGGGCCACGACGTGAGGGCTCCAGCTCTTGGACTGGCGCGCATGCGAAAACATTTGCGGATCCAACGAAAATGGTGCGGCCCCGACCTTGGTTCGGAGTTGTGGTGCGGTGGATCCAGTTCCCGTCCGCGGATCAACTTTCAGAGGTTGTGGATATGATGCCCGCCCTGTTTTCACTCAGGTCCGATATATACACCTGTTGTAAACAAACTGTCCTATTCAGCGAAAGGGCAGACAGAAATCGGATCCGCGACGCCCAGGCCCGCCGCTGGTAATATTTTACGGGGGACGGGGGTTGTGTTACGAACTGCCACAGACAGGTCGCGCATTGCCTCACGGACCCCATCAACCCTCACCGTGCACGGATCGCACCCAATATGAATACATCTCTGCTCAACCCCCGGCTGCTGCAAACAACTTGTCCAGACGCCGTGCGCTTTGCTGCGCCGACACTCTATCGCCAACCGCTTATCGCGGCTGGCGCCTCAAGAGAAAAATCTCTCGCCCTGCGTAAGTATCCCTCCGTACATTGCCCCTAGGAGGAGTGAGGCTCCTGGGAAACAACCAGGCTCTCGAGCGTATCCCTTTCCCTATGACTGGCAAGCCCAAGGCGATGACGAATCTTAAGAGTGTGCCCTCGGAAACCGAACGACACCCGAGGTCGGCACCGAGATGAGGCGACGCCAATCACAGGTACACAGATGTCTCAAGTTGGTGGAGTCTGGCACGAACTAACCCAGCTCGTTGCGAACCCGGCCCAACCACCTTTTGAACAAGCAGCGCTGCCATTTTCGGGGGTGGGGTCCGAAATCCAGTCTCCACCAGCATGTACAACCACCTCCAGTGGCGCGAGCGGCTCTCAAACGCGGCGCAGCCAAACCTGCCTCGGCAAGCTCATGTGGCAAGACCTGGCGCTCTGGCTGATCCCCGCTTGTGTTAGGTCGGGCATGTCCCCCCTCAGGCGGATTTTGGACGATTAGTAAAAAATACCCAAACAATGCTCCAACGTAGTCCAACAATACTCGGAAAATCATCCCCATACTATTTTTTGGCCTATGTTTGATCTCCTCCTGCAGGGGGGCACGCCCGACTCAACGCTTGTGCTGAACCCCGCTGCCTGCCAGCCGAGCGGAAATGCCTCCTGAGGCCTATAGTCACTCGCGCACCGCGCCACGAGATGCGCACTCATCTTGGCGCCTTTGCGCCGCCGCGCTGGAGAAGCGCGCCTCCACAGCCCAAGCCGCGGTGCGCGAAGCAAGATGATCTTCGCGCCCCTGAGAGTGACCTAACAGAGGCCACTCAAAGGGCGTCCGAGCACGCAAGGTCGGAGGATCTTGCCGAATAGACGATGCATCGGCAACGTCGACGTGAAGAAACATTCTGGATCCACACCGAGCCGCACTGCCAGTGCATCGGCGAGGCGGAGCGATCATTCGACCCCATCTATCGGGGAGACGTAAGACCCGGGTACGGGGGACTCGGAAATCCCCGACGAGGTCGTCAAAAAAATGACGAGGCCGAGCCTGCATTTTGACGAGGCCTCCCGCTGCAGACATCCCACGAAACTCCTCCTCGTCAAAATCCGAGGCGCGGTCGTCAAAAAACGATGGCGAACCCGAGTCCTGGCAAACCCGGGTCTTACGCTCCCCCGAATCTACTCGGACACCATTTGGGAGGTCAAGCCCCAAGGCTCGGCAGCCAAGCCGGGAGAAGCCGCATCGGCGGACCTCGGCGGGCCGTACTTATGTCCCCCGTTGCGAGGTCGGGATCCACATCGGAATGCGAAGTCGAATCGGATCGGAGATTCGGGACCTCGACCGGAAGCCGAAACCGAATCGAAGCGGAAGAATCGACACGAGCACTGCCCTCGCCGGGTGCCCTAGCGCCGGCACCGCGGGGTCCTCCTGCGGCGCGCAGAAGGCGGTATGGAGGAGGGGGGGAGGCTTCTTGGAAGGAGGCTGCTCCTCAGACGGCGTCGTCCTGGCATCGACACACAAAGCCCGCGTGTTCTAAGATGCAGCCTCCTCCTAAGAGGCCTTCCCCCCTCCCCCATACCCTTCTCTTGGGCGTCGCTTCGTGGGGGGCGGTGGAGGGGGGGGAGGAGAAGGAAGGTGCACGTCTCGGGCGCTGAAGGCTCCCCTTTGGGCCCCAAAGGGCCTCCTTTAGGGCCCAAAAGGGTCCCTGGGCGAAGAACGGTATAAAATAAACTTTTTCGCTGTCGGGGGCGCCTGTCCCTGGGCGGCTGGAAAGTTTATTTCACACCGTTCTTCGCTCGCTGATTTTCTGCAGCCCTCGCTGACCCCACGCTTCGCGCCCACCTTCGGTGGCAACTCCTGGGGGCCTCCCATACCATCTTGTCGGCTCTTGCGAATCGACGCTGATCGACGCTAGTCGACGCTGCTCAACGCTATGTCGACGCTGATCGACGCTGGCCGATGCCAATTCGGCGTTACCTCATCGACTCCCAGACGCTAGCGCGAAAGACGGAAGTAAGAGGCTATACCAGGCACCCATGACTAGGGAGCCCACAAAAGACGTACGCGTCCAGCTATGCACATGAACACGGCCCCTCGACCCGCGAGACTGGTCGCGTGATGCGAACATTCGGGCACCACATACTCTCGAAACCAGCGTGGATTCATGTACGTGTACGTACTTCTTCAGGGGAACAAGAATTTGCATGAACATGAGAACTCGGAGGTCCGCGCGGATTTCTCGGATCAGCGCTGGACCCCCTTCCCTGGCGCGCGGAGCGACCCAGGGGCGGCGCCGGAGGCGCCGCCGGGGGGCCCCAGCGCCGATCCGAGAAGTTCGCGCGGACCTCCGAGCTGTAATGTTTGTGCCGCTTCTTGCTCCCCTGTTCTTCCGCTCCTGAAAGCAAGCCAGTCTCAACACATTCGGGTGCGTCATAGAGAGGTTCGGGTGCTGCGTAGCGCTCCTCCTCCTGCTCCTGCTCCTGCTCCTGCTCCTCCTCCTCCTCCTCTCCTTCCTCTCCCTCCTCCTCCTTCTCCCTCCTCCTCCTCCTCCTCCCCCTCCTCCTCCTCCTCCTCCTCCTCCTCCTCCTCGTCCTCCTCCTCCTCCTCGAGCCCGTGCGCGTCTGCGGCCCGCGCCTCCCGGAGCCCCGCGGGCGGCCTCGGCGCTCCGCCGCGCGGCGGCGCGGCTCTCCCCGCCCGCCGCGGCGCCGCACGCACGGAGGGAGGGCAGCCTCCGGGCAGCCTCTGCCTAAGACTGCGGCATGAGAGGAGGAGGAGGAGGAGGAGGAGGAGGAGGAGGAGGAGGAGGAGGAGGAGGAGGAGGAGGGGGGGAAGGGGAGGAGGAGGAGGAGGAGAGGAGGAGGAGGCGCGCGTCGTGGGGGGCATTGTTTCTGGCGGCGAGCGATGGGGGGGGGGGCGTAACGATGGGGGGGGGTGGTAGCCGAGAGGGGGCCCCCCTCTTTGGGAGCGCACCACGGGCGCGCTCTCCCCGATCTATGTTGCAGAGCTTCTGCAAGACAGGGTAGATCACAGTCAAAAGCCCTGATAAGGACGCGCGGGGGCAAACAACTGCACAAGCATACACATCTTTTAGAAAAAACGAACTGCACAAACATGAACTGGTGGCGCTCCGCGCGGATTTCTTGGATCCGCGCTGGCACCCCCCTCCCTGGCGCGAGGAGCGCGCCAGGGGCGGCGCCGGAGGCGCCGCCGCGGTGCCCCAGCGCGGATCCAAGAAATCCGCGCGGAGCGCAATCAGTTCATGTGTAGAGCGATTTCTCTTCTTTGAGAACCCCCCACTGCGCATCGCCCAACCCTCGGTGGTGGACAAACCTCCCTTTAGTACACCTCCCCTTCACTTAGCGAAAACGGCCTGGGACCGAAACCGACGGACCTGGACCCGGAAAAACTGACGGCCGCGACGCCCTCTCGCGAACCGAAACCGTCCAATTCCTGAATCATCGACGTGTCAGGGTAGGAGGTCTGGCCACCCCCGAGAGGCCAATCATGACCAGCGGCATGTGCGCGGCCCAGCAGGGGGGCCAGGGACGCAATGAAAGAAGAAGAAGAAGAAGAAGAAGAAAAAGAAGAAGAAGAAGAAGAGGCGCCATGAACTCTGGGGAAATTCCATGGCCCACGCCATGATATCCACCCCCCCCTAGTCATCACCCCCCACCTGGCGGGCGTCTCGGGGGGCGTCCGAGGAGGGGGGCGTCTCGGGGGGCGTCCGAGAGGGGGGGGACTCCTCCTCTTCCTCCTCTTCCTTCTTCTCCCCCTCGTCCTCCTCCTTGCCTTCTCCTTGAGAATAACTCCTCTCTGTGTAGGTGGCGACCAAGAGGGGGCGTCCAAGAGCAGTGGCGCAAAGCATGGCCGGCGGCATCTGCGCGGCCCAGAAGGGGGGCGGGGGACGTCATGAAATGAGAGGAGGCGCCATGGAATCCGCGGAGATACCATGGCCCTTGCGATGATATTCCGCCCCCCCCAATCATCACCCCCCCGAACTGCGCACCGCCCAGCCCGCTGCGCGCGGCCGCTCGCCGGGCGCCCGAGCGCGGGCCCCGCGAGGGGTCCTCCGGAGCACGCGGTGCACGTGGGCGTGCTTGGCGCCCCGGTCCTGCGGCAGCTTCCCGCGCGGTCGGGCGCGCGGGGGAGCACACACACAAAGGAGTGGGCACAGTAGGAGGAGGGGGAGGAGGAGGAGGAGGAGGAGGGGGAGGAGGAGGAGGAGGGGGAGGAGGAGGAGGGGGAGGAGGAGGAGGAGGGGGAGGCGGAGGAGGAGGAGGAGGAGGAGGAGGAGGAGGAGGAGAAGCATTCCCCATGCTTGCCATGATGTTTCCTGGATGTTCGTTTTTCCCTCAACTTCCCATTGTAGGTCATAAGAGCACCCCGAGCGCGCGGGAACGGGATCACACTTAATTAGGAGGGCCAAGGACATCAGGGATGTCCGTCCTGCAGATGCATCAGGCCGAGCCGCCCAGCTCTGTGATCCCTGGTGCGAAGACGGGGGCCTCAGTGAGGCCACCTTTGCATCGTGCCATCAGGGTTGAGGGCTCTTCTTGGGTCTCGTGAATCCCATGATTGTTTGAGGGGCATCGATCGGGGGGACTGGCGTAAGGGGGGATGCATCGACCTGGAATCGGCGAGACATCGCCGATAGGTCGGCGATCTGCCCCCGATCGTGAATCCGCACCTGCCTGGCCAGTTTGGGGCTATCGCGGGCCCCCAGCAGCGATCGCAAAATCGGCGCCTGGGGGTCGATGCGTTCCTCCCCTTTATGCCTCCTGCCTATCCCCCCCTAATCGTTGCCCCCGGCTTTTCCCTGGGGCTCCCAACTTCGCGCTTCGCGCTGCGCGAAGCGCGAATAACTTCGCGCTCTCGCGCCGCCCTCCCAAAGGGAGAATAGGAGGACGAGGAGGAGGAGGAGAAGGAACGAGGACCGCGAAGCGCGAAGCGCGAATAACTTCGCGCCCTCGAGGGAGCCCTTGCTTTTCCCTGGGGACCGACGATGATCTGTATCTGTGTGCATCTGTGTGTATCTCTGTACCTTCGGGAGCGGCCAAGAGGGGGGCGTCCAAGAGGGGGGGGGATGCAAATCATGGCTGGCGGTATATGCGCGGCCCAGGGGGGGGGGGGTCCGGGGACGTAATGAAATAAGAAGAGGCGCCATGACATCTGGGGAGATATCATGACCCCCGCCATGATGTCCACCCCCCCTAGTCATTACCCCCCTCCTGGCGGGCGTCTCGGGGGGTGTCCGAGGAGGGGGGCGTCTCGGGGGGCGTCCGAGAGGGGGGGGGCTCCTCCTCTTCCTCCTCTTCCTTCTTCTCCTCCTCGTCCTCCTCCTTGCCTTCTCCTTGAGAATAACTCCTCTCTGTGTCGGTGGCGTCCAAGAGGGGGCGTCCAAGAGCAGTGGCGCAAAGCATGGCCGGCGGCATCTGCGCGGCCCAGAAGGGGGGCGGGGGACGTCATGAAATGAGAGGAGGCGCCATGGAATCCGCGGAAATACCATGGCCATTGCGATGATACTCCGCCCCCCCAATCATCACCCCCCTCCTGGCCGCTCCCGAATGCCGAATGTATGCATGTTTGTTAAATGTCTGGGCCATAAGCGCGGGATGTCCCCCCCCGTACCGTAACGCTCCACCCACCCCCAGCGCGCCCCCAGCACTGCCAGAGTGCGTCCAGCACCGCATTCTGCGGTGCTGGGCCCACAAAGCGGGGAGGCGTTACGTTATGCCCCCCCCCCTTCTGGGCCCCTCCCCAGCCCCCTATAACGCCAATGATCGCCGCGGAAAAAATACTCTCGGAAAGTTCATCTTTGTTATAAAGGGTAAGGGCTAGAAAGCAAGGGGTCATTGAGCCAGACTAGTCCACATCGAGCCATGGACAAGCAGGGTAAACCGGTATTCTGCCAGACTTTTCGACCAGGGGTATACCAGCGCCGATTCCGAATTTGACATCCCAGGAGCTGCCTCTTGGGAAGACGGGTCCAGAAAGCTGGGCAAGATCAGCCAACATCAAATCGGGGAAACCGACCGAATCGGAACGCCCGCCGGACCGGGCCGCATCGGCACCGAATCGGAATCGAACCGGATCGGCTGCGCCAGGATGCATGGCAACGACAACGCCATCCAAACATCGAGCCACATTTTCGGTGGCAGCTCGTAGGAATCCTTCCATGCCATCTTGCTGGCCCCTGTGGAGCTACGCTGACCGAAAGCCATCGACGCCAACTTTATGCTAAATCGGGGCAGTGTCATAGATTACAAGACGCTAGCGCACGCGAGTGCACCCCACGGATGGAATTGCGAGGGCGTGCAAGGTTCCCATGCTTTGTTACCGAACACATCGAATCGTCGGGACTTCGCAGCCGAATCCGATAGAGCTGACCAGAGCCGATATCGAATCGGATCGATCGCATCGAAGTTGGCCCTGCAAATCCACCGAGCTTCGCGCATCGCCCCCCGCGATGCGCGACACGCGATTCTCTCTTCGCGCTCCCCGCGCCCTCGCGCCACCGCCTCCCGGAGAAGGGCAGCCGCTCTGGCTCAGACCGCGACGCGCGAGGCGCGACAGTCTTCGCGCCCCCCCCCCAGGTCACACGGTCTACAGTA